AAATAAAAGGCAGCTATAAAAGTAATTAATTTATAATATTCATTATTATTTGATTGTATAATCGATGTGTATTTTTAATATTGGTGACAAAATTATTTTATCAATAATCTACTTAAATTCATTGAAATTAAATTAATTAGCAAATATTAGTGCTTAATTAAACTACATTACAAAATTCTTAGAAATATTGCTTTAAATGATCAGCGTACATAAAAGATTGTTATTGTTAATGTTATTGTTATTTTTATCATAAATATAATAATAATAATAATTATTATTGTTATTATTGCTAATGTTATTGTTATTATTATTATAAATATAATAATAATAATAATAATAATAATAATAATAATTATTATTATTATTATCATTTTCATTACTAGCACTACTATTATTATTGTTAGCATAAAAATTAAGTATTATTTTTTCTTTATTGGAAATAATTAATTAATGAAAATAACTTTTTGCTCTCTTTTGAAAAATAAAACGAATGGAATTAATTGGAATGAAAAAATTATTGGAAGTTGATTTCTGAATGGAGATTTATTTACATATTGAGTAATTATATATATAATATGAAAAATTCCGATATTAATTTCAATATTTTACTCACAGTTTATATTCCTAAAAAGGATTAAAAAGATTGTTCAAGATAATTACACCAAAATTGCGCTTTTTTTTTAATTAATTAAATTTAAATTTCAATAAAATCATAATTTGTAATATTTAAAGTAAATTTGAATTTAACCTTGTTGTTTGCCAACATTACACGTATTACACGCTAATTGACAATTTCCGGTCATCCAATCCGGATTTGCCGTACATTCACCAATTGATGCCCAAAAACGGCACCATTGATGTTCATCACAGCAACCATTTGGTAAGCATTTAAATTTGCTAGTTTGTGGTGATGATAATTGTGGTATAACTTCTGCAATGATTAATTAATTAATTAATTAATTAAATTCAAATGAAAAAGATGATAAATTATTTGTTGCTATAATTGATTAAATTTTTGAACATCATTACTGATTAAATCTTTTATTAATTAATTATTTTCTATAATTTATATAACAATCAAATTACCGTTAAATTAATCAACATAAATGATATATTATTACATTGAAAAAATCAAAATATTGTATGCAAATTTTGTAATGAAATTTTTAAATAATTGATAAATATAAAATTTAAAATTCCGCAACTAAATGCGGTATCATTTTATCATTAACCAAATTTGAAATGATAACGGACCACTAATTTCATTCCAGTAAATGATTGATAGATGATTATCAACCAATCTATCATCGCTTTCAATTTACTCGTTTTTCATTCATATATTCTTCTTTCATCATCTCACTTATATGATTTACCCTTTCACCTAATTTCAACAAATGCATTTGGATGCATTAAATTATTATTCGAATTAGCTACAACAAATGTTTCAAATTTTTTAAAAATTTTTTCACGAAACAACCAAAACTTTGAAATAGAATTTTCCAAATTCTATGAAAGTTTCAATTAGCATAAAACCGAATTTATGAATAGTTAAAAATTAAATTATTACTTTTGAAATATTAATTAAATTATATAATTTCTAAGATTTAACAAAATAAATGAATAAATAAAAGCAAATTTAGCAGAAAAAACTTTAAAATTGGAAAAAAAACTAGAGAATTTTTAGAATTTTAAAAGCAATTTCCAAATTATATGTTTGGCTATATTTTTGTCCTAATATACTTCTGCTGTTTTATTTTTCTTTTGCTTTATCAAATTCTAATTAAATTTTCTTTTAAAATAAATTTCAAACTAATCTCATAAAAATTCAAAATTCCAAATGATCATTTTGCAGGTATGTTTAAGTTTTGAAAATTATTTTCTCCTTTTCAATTAATATCTTGCATAATCAAAGAGCTAATAATCTATTTAATCATTGCAAAAAGTGAAATTTCAAATGAATCAAGAAAAATTTTAAAAAGTTTTATTGAAAAAAATCCGTCAATAATCTTATGAATGATAAATTGAATAATTAATTAATTAAAAATTTGTTTGCAAATTACAAATTTTTAATACGATCAAATTTCGTATTCCAATATGAAAATATTATAAAATAATTTTTAAAAGTATTTACATAAAAACAAAAAATTAAATCATCAATTTTCCATACATTTCTCTATTCCTTTTCTGCCACTTTTAAACAATAAATAATTTTTTATGTTTTTAAAAATTTATAAAAAATTTCAAAAATGACTTTAGACTTTAATGTTTTTCCGACATTAGACTGATGAAATAAAAAGGAAATGAAATAACAGTTAAATTAAACTGTCTCATTAAAATTATTATCTATAATTATTCATTTTTATCTTTAATTATTGCTTATTAATTATTTGTGGTTAATTATTGTTGCTTAATGTTATTGTAATGTATTTATACAAAAAGAAATTTTAAAAAAAGTTAGAGAAAAATTAAATTTACAAAAAAAAGAAATAAAAAGGGGAAAAATGAGAAAAAAATTTTTGAAACATACCGGTAAGAAGTAATAAAATAAGCTGTAATTGTTGTATGCAAATTGTTTTGATCATTTTTTTTTCCGGAATATCGATCGATGGAATACCGTCTCAAAGTAAAAAATAGGTGAAGAAAAAAACAAAGCGCAATAAATTTGTATTTGATGATTATAGCGCTACAATACACTATTTACACTACGTTTCGTCCGTATTCATATTTTTAAATTTCCGGATCCGCAATATTTAATATTGTCAATAA